ATTCCTTTGTGTTTGTTAGAGGGACTGAAAACAACAAGCAAGAAACAGTACTCTATCCCGGAGGCAGAAAATGCATAATTGATGACAGCAGGAATAATAGAACAAATATTTTAGGATTTAATTTAGAGGGATTGAGGGCTAATTAGAGGGATAATTAGGAAATTGCAAAGAGAAAGTGGAAATAAAAAAATTTCAGAAAGGTGGTAAATGATCATATATGTGATGGTTTTTTAATCCTGTCCTGTAAAGGGCTCAGAGAGATACAGCAAGTCACCTCTATCTGTGTGTAGGAATTAAACTGATAACTGCATACCTATAAGCCCATCTCCTAAATTGGAAAAGAACCTCTGATCTCTGATCAGGATTAAGCTAGAACACTTGGAAACATACAAATTGGATAGAGATAGATTTACAGAAAGGCAGTCGGGCTTAACCAGCATGATTAATTTCTTTGAGCCAGTGACAATGAACCCACTGGGTGAAGCAGTGGACATAATTTACTTGGACTCTGAGCAAGTGACAAAGCTGGCTAGCATGGTTTTGCCAGTGAAATACTTAATTGGATATTAGATTGCTCTGGTAACTGACAGAAAGCAGTAAATAGTTACTCACCCAGGCCAGGGTGACGGATAGAGTGCTTTCCAGGGCCACAGGGAGGCCTATTGGGGCTGGACCAGGGGAGATGAGAAATGAAAATGTGTGAGCTACACCAGAGAGGCCAGAAAAAGCAAGGAAATAGGAAATGTATACCAGTGAAGTATCGCCAGTGCCCATCCCGTAGGCCAAACCAGGAGCAGTGCAGGCGAACGTGGCCAGAGCTTCTTTACATAACAGCAAGACTTGTTTCTCTCATTCCACGCTGGGAACTGTTACCAAATGCTGCCTTGAGCTTGCAATCCACCAGTGACAGAGGCCTATTGAGGGCTGAATCTGAGGCACAACTCAGCCTCCATATCTTCTCCATGGTGCTTTGTTCAAAGGGATCAGGTAGTGCTTTCCAGCAAGTGCGATACCAGTCAGTTCTGTCCTTCTTCCTGCCTCCCTCCCTCCTTTCCTTCTGTCCTTCCTCCTTTCCTCTCTCCCATCCTTCCTTCCTTTTCTTTTTTCTTCCTAATATTTCCATTTCATTCATTCATCCACTTATCTTATTTAAATGTGTTAAAATACAGATAATATTCACCAATTTTTCCAATATAGAGTGTAGCAACACTAAGTATATTTACTGCTCACCTCTAGAAACTTTTCGTCATCCTCATGGAAACTCTGTATCCTTTAAACTATAACTGCCCATTTCTCCTCACCCCCAGCCCCTGAAATCACCGTTCGCCTTTCTGTCTCTGAGTCCCTGTCCTGGGTTCCTTGTAAGAGGAGCCTGCAACACTTGTCTTTCTGCATGTAGCTTATTTCATTCAGCATAATGCTTCCTATTTCCCCCATGTTGTAGCATATGTCCGAATTTCATCCTTTTTAGTGAGCATTGTACCTTTAAAGAATAGCTTTACTATACAATTAGGCCTTTTCTTTTTGTCATTTGACATGCTTAATAAGAGTTGTAGTGAATTTAGCACCGTTTCACCCCTCAAGCAGATTATGGTCTGGTAGAATAAATGAGACAGGGACACAGATGGTAATGATACAGTGTAGACTGTGCTAAGTGCCATAAGAAATATACATGGAGGCCTTTGGGATTTCGTCAGGCGTGAAATTACTTCCAGCCATGGGGCTAGAGATTTCACAGGGGAGAAGTGGAGCCAGGCTTTGAGAGATTGATAGGGTGTGGCTGGGCAGAGATACTGTCAGAGAAACTCCCGGTGGAAGGAACCACGTAAGCCAAGGTATGGTGTGGGGAGAAGGGAAGACCCTATCTGGGCTACACGTTCAGCTGCAGGGAGTATTTGGTACGTTCACCATTATGATAGCAGCTCTAGCCGTAAAAAAAGATTCAGGCCGGATCATTGAGGAGTTTGTGAACCAGTCTGAGGAATGACCTTCCTCACGGGCACTGGGGAGGTGTTCATGATTTTTCAGCAGTGAGTAGCTACAAATAGAGCTGCCACTTGGACTAGTAATATGTGAGCTTTGGGTAGAATGCATTGGGGACAGGGAGAGACTCGAAGCGCGTGGTGGAAAGTAATGAGCTTGTCAACCAGAATGGTGACAGTGACAATAAAGAGGAACAGATGGGGGCCGGTTTTGGAGGTGGATTAACAGGTGCTGTGGAAGTCACGAAGAGAGGTCTTTGGCTTCTGAGGAGCAGAGATGCCCAAAAGCCCCTTTCCCAAAAGACAAGCATGGTCCTGGGGAGGCAGAGGGCAGGCAGTAGATGTGAAGTCCTCTGCAGCTGTGCCTTACATCTATTTGTTGGTCTGTAAACGCTGGACTTGGCAAAGCCGTTCAATGCCTGAGATAGTTGGCCTGTTGTGCCCAGTATTCGGCCTTTTGAGCCTGTATTAGAAATCCCTGCATAAACCACCTTGCAAGGCATGAGGCCGGGACCTAAGCAGGGAGATTTCTAAGTGGAGTCTGTCGCTGCTGCACCTGGTAGCCTTCATATGATCAAGACTGTGTCACAGTTTCCATTATGCACGTGGTTTCTCGTTCCACCCCCCGAGATTTATAACTTAGCAATGAAAATTTGCTCCCTCTGGGAACTTGGCAAGAAGATTATGTTCTTAGCCCAACAGCAGTTACTATTCAAAAAAATTTTTTTGACGAAATTGGTTTAGTGCATTTTATAAAAATGCAAATATTAATCTAATTCATTTCAAGTTTTTCCAACTATTTTTTCATTTTACCTTTAAGGCAGCTTGTAGAGAACCAGTTGGAAATGCATCTTGGGAGAGATCTGCTCTGGATATGTTTTGAGTCGCTTGTATACTTTTTTCTACAATTGTAAAGCTTTGCTTAAATTCTGACTTGCCCCAAATGGCAACTGCATCATTGCTTTTCACATGGATTTTTAGCATGTTGGCAGAAGAGCTGAGAAATCTCATCTGGAATACTTCCTTCACATAAGTCCATGATGAAGTTGTTTATCTTGCTTTTAAAGATGACAGAGAAGGGATTCCGCAACTATGCCATTCTAAAATTCATTAAGTCTCATTATCAAGAGACTCTAGGTTCTGAGTTCATTTTCTGGCTGGAGGTGCCAGGCCCTTGCCTGCTCTCACATGAACTGTGTGATGGATCACAGGGGGCACTGGCATTTGGGACTGATGATGTGTCTGTTGTCTTGCTGAAGGCCTCACTCTAAGCATTTTCTCATACTCTGTGTTAAGTACTTGTGTGACTCATTGTAGTCCCACTCTATAGCTCAAGAAACCAAGAATGAGAGAGCTGAGGTAACTGGCCTAAACTGGTCTTTAACCAACCCTAAAGACTGTGTCAGTCTGCAGACCTCAGCTTCTCCCAATGCATGTTCACATTTTAGTTTGCTAAATGTTTCTTGGAAACAGTGCACCCAGCTTCATATTATGCTTTTGCTTCAGATTTTGGAGAGTATTTTGGACCCTGTGCCCAAAGGAGCTGAGTAATTGGGCAGTCGTTAATCCTTTGCAAAGACCCCTTTTTAGTGGTGTAATAACTGAGATTCTTGCTGTGGACCGTCTTAATGTAAGTGGATTCTAGTTTTTGTGGAATGGAGGTTGATGAAAGAACCAGGCTCTCATGGACTTGCCTGTGCTGGAGGATCCATGACCAAGGTGTTGGATGGTTAGACTGGGCTTTTGGAAAGAGGTCTCAGTTCCATACCTGTGGTGTCTTCCATAGGGGTATTGAGTATCCTCACAGCATAGCAGCTGGTTTTTTCCAGAGTAAGTATTCAGCAGAAAGTGAATTGGAAGCAGCAATGGCTTTAATGACCCAGCCTCAAAGATCACCCGTTGCCACTTTCATACTTGGTTTTTTGTCATACAAGTCAGCCCTATGCATCATGCATCATGGGAGGGGACTGCACAAGTGTAGGAATCTGCAGGCTCTCTGGGACCATCCAGAGGGAGCCACTGCATAGCACCATTTGGTTGGGAAAAGCAAGACTGTGTAAAGGAGAGAAATACAAGAAGGATAAAAGAATATGGAACCTAAAATGGGTCACTTCGCCTTTTCCCATTGATATCTGAGCTGAGAGCCAAAGAGAAACACATTTGTATGAGAATATTGGAGATCAGTGTTTTAACCTCACTACTCACGGCGGAGGACTGAATTCATGAGAAGCCTTCTGTTCATGTCTAGACCTTGGGACCACTTCCCAGGGGAGAATTTGGCTATGGAAGGCAGATAAACTTCCTCACAATTGCTGCCTCATCTCTGTCAAACCCCAAAATAAGGGACATGGCCAGGTGTGGTGATGCACACCTATAATCCCAGCACCTGGGAAGCTGAGGCAGGAGAATCGCTGTGAGTTTGAGGTCAGCCTGGGCTACATAGTGAGTTCAAGGACAGTCTGAACTATATAACAAGACCCTGTCTCAAAAAACAAACAAACAAAACAAGGGACACGAAGATACTGACTTCCATGTTTACCTCCACAAGGAAGGCCTGACCCCTGATCCCTGGATGCTTAAAGCACAGAGGCCAGGCAGGACCCGTTCAGCCTGTGGGCTGGCAACTCCAAGGGGCTGAGCCCATCTGCTCAGCACCTCTTCCCGGCCTCACCGATCAAAGAAGCCCACTCCTCTCTTCTCAGAGTAGAGGGCAAGATAGAAGCAGTTCACTTCCTGAGAGACTGAACAGAACTTTCCTGCTGTATGAATAAGGTACAAATAGGAGGAGGGGACAAAAAAGACTGTCCCTGTACAGAAGTCATTCATATGAACCAGTTAGGGCCGCCAGTAGTGGTCTGTTATGCACACCCAGTCTGTTCATACCTAGTCTCTGCTGAATGAAGAGCAGTTGTATTTTGCATTTTTATGAACCCTTATAAACAAATCCGAGCTCCTCTCTATTCTGTTTTTGTTGTGGGCTCGTGCAGACTAAATACTGCACCATGGTGTCACTGTCCTGAGTAGCCTTAACCAAAGTCTCTCTCTCTTGTAGGCACAGGGTGGTGGTTTCCTATCCTCCTCAGAGTGAGGCAGAACTTGAACTTAAAGAAGGCGATATTGTGTTTGTTCATAAAAAACGAGAAGACGGCTGGTTCAAAGGCACATTGCAGCGTAACGGGAAAACTGGCCTCTTCCCAGGAAGCTTTGTGGAAAACATCTGAAGAGCGTGACAATGAGAAGGCTTAAACTCGAATCACACAATGAAACAGCACAAAGTGATGTCATGGAAAGAGCACCTCTGTGGACTTCCAGACAGCCAGAAGCTAACCGAAGCGGGGGGTGTGGTTCTAGAGCCTCCAGAATGAGGCGGGGGTCTGTGTGGGTTTTGTCACTCTGGATTCTGATGTGTAAGGTGTGCCTTGTACTGTCTGATGTACTACACAGAGAAACCTTTTTTTTTTTTAAGATGTATAACTAAAATGGACAATTGTTTACAAGGCCTAATTTATTTGCTTTTTTAAACTTGAACTTTTCTTGTAATGGATAAATTCTTTGGATTATGATTTGAAGAAATTATTAATTTATGAATGATCGCTGAGGAGAGGCTGGATTACCTCCTCTTGAGAACAAGAGATTTTTTTGTTTTACATAGAATGTGTCTTCCCTACCCCACCCCCTGTTCCCCCCTGTTCTAATTTGTTTCTTAGATAGAAATGCCAGTTTCTAATTTGACTTTCCTCTTCAGGAAGCCAAACGTACGACTGAATCAGTATCAAGTAGGGCCTGGGGTAGGGAATCAGAAAGTTGAGAGAAAGTTAGTGATTCCCTGTCTTTCTCGTTTGACCAGGAGTCATCCTGAAAACCCAGTCCTCAATTTAATTTTGTGGATTTTTTCTTTGAACTTTCCTACACCAAAATTTGTGAAGTGATAAGGAAATATAAAGCACAACCATTGACTAAAAATGTATGCAGAAATATGTTTAGTTTTATATCAGAAGCAGCCCAATGCATTGGTTGGAAAGTAGGTGAAATTGAAGTTATACTCACTGTCTGAGAATGGCTACAAAGCATAATTTCCATTTTAACCCAAGTGATGTGCATGCCCAGGACACAATTAAAACATTTGTGAGATGGTGGTGGTAAATGATGCCCTCGTGTTAAAGTCAAAGGCTGTAAGAAACACTGTGAAAAGTTTACATTCATCCATTGTGATTCTTTCTCCACCCTCTTGCATGCGCTACTGGATTCCCACAGTAATTTAGACTATGCATGGTGTGTGTATTTCATTGCAGTTTCCTGTTGAGCTTAGTTTGCACTCAAAATTGACCACGGCAGGAAGTGTAAAATAAACAGCATTCTCTTCTCTAACCCGAGAGCCACTACTGACGAAGGTCTCTTGAGTGCACTTGGCCCCTCTCTGGCTAAGGCATCCGTTAGCCATCACACAAGTCACTAGTGAAAACGCTCTTTTGTGTCCTCCCAGCAGACAGACGTACAGCACGAGTCCATCCAGGAAGCTGCTCTGGCAACTTCTAACTGAAGCTCTGCAAGGCTTAGTGGGAGTGAGTTTGCCCACACCTTACAACTGTGGCAGGGCCCAACTGAGCCTGTCTTTTACATCCATTTGTTGTTGTCATTGGCTTCTTCCACCAGTGTCATACCCTGCCACTCAGTCGTGGGTCTAGGTAGTCCTGCGAACACAAGGAGGGAGACAGCCTGGTAGTGAATGAGATCGTTGCCACAATTTTCTCATGGAAATAAGGAAAGAAATAAACAACCATCTTCCTCTCCTCTTCCCCTTCTTCCTCTCCCTCTCCCTCTGCGTCCTCCTGCTTTTCCTCCTCCTTCTCTTTCTCTTCACCTTCTCCCTCTCCTTCCTCTTCCTCCTCCTCTTCTTCCTCTTCTCAAGCATTAAAGCTGGGAAATAGAAACATGAACTGAAAAGTCTTCTTGTAGTAGCAAGAAGTTTCATCATCTTAAAAATATACATAATGTGGTTGGAAATGAGATCATCCCTAAGTTAACCTGTTTTTTTATGAAACACTGTATATTACGTTCTTGTGCATTGAATTTTTTTTTAAATACTTTACTTGGATGTTCATGTAATATATAATGGTTTGGTGAAATGAATTTTAGTTAGGAAAAAAGCTGACTCCAGCTTTCTTCTGTGTAAGTTGACACCAATGTGTCATAATATTCTTTATTTTGGGAAATTAGTGTATTTTATAAAAATTTTAAAAAGTAAAAAGACTACTACAGGCTAAGATAATTTTTTACCCGTCTTTTCTCCATATTTTAAGCTATGTGATTGAAGTACCTCTCTGTTTATAGTTTCCTGGTATAATGTTGATTAAAATTTCATCTGTTAATAGATCATTAGATAATATAATGTATGGGTTTTCTATTGGTTTTTTGGAGACAGTAGATGGATTTTGTAACAAGGGCTTGTTACACAGTGATATATGGTAATGATAAAATTATAATTTATCATTCCTTTCATGTTAATAATTTGAGGACTGGATAAAAGTTTTCGCGATTAAAATTTGATGTTCAACCTTTGCACGTCCCTTGTGTCAATCCTTAAAATTTTTGCTTTTTTTTTTTTTAACTTGTGACACGACTTAACTTCTCCTTCCTAAAAATCCTTTGTGTTTACCTCAGAAAGACGGTGTCCGCAAGAATCAGTTTCGTGGCCGTGGTACATCTTACCTCTCCAACCAACAAACCTTTTGTGTTTCGTTCCCCGGAAGCAGGCTCTCACATGCTGTGCTGTGCTGCGCAGTACTGCCGGCATTTCCCCCTTCCAGTTTACTGAAATAATCTGCTAAGGCTAGAAGTTGTCTTCGCAGTGGAAAGAGTAGCCGAGCTGCAGCCTCAATATGGTATCCCACTGTGGCTTGAGAACGAAACCCTTGGAATCACTGGGATTTTAATTTTCTGTGAAATGAAATGAAAAAATCATATACAATTCTCATGGTTATTTTGCTATTAACTTTTGATTGCTATCAAATTATTTGTCAGAATTAAAAATCAGGAATTCTAGGATTTCTGTAGCTTCTAGAACCTGTGCCAAATTATGTTACTGCCCTAGTCATCCCCCTGGATGGAGGTGAGGGGCAAAGGAGGTAATGTCAGTGATTTGAAATTAAATTTTAATGTGGTGTTAACTTTATATCTGGTCTCAAATATTTTATCTTATCCCCTTAGCATATACAATAAACAGGAATGCCTTCTGAGTTTAATCCCATTGAGAAGGAACAAATTAAGGTGATATTTCCAACCTGCTATACATTTAATTTTCTACTCCAGTGATAATGAGTCAAGCTTTGGGATGACATCTTGTTATGTTGCCTATGTGGCCTCGAGTTCCTGGGCCCAACTGACCTTTCTGCTTCAGCCTCGCAGGTAGCTGGGCTACAGGCCCATGTGCCACACCCAGCTTAGGACAAGATTTTCATTTTTCATTTTTTTAATTTAATTTTAATTTTTTATTATTTTATTTTATCCAATTCCCCCCTCAAACAACCTCCCCTTTCTATGTCCCAAAACCTTGTTTCCATTTTTTTCCTTCTGTTTTCACTTTTTTTCTTGTCCCTTCCTTCCTTCCTTCCTCTCCCCCACCCTCCCCCATTCCCCTTCCCATTTGAACACTTTCTTCCCATTTCCCAACATCCACTATCACCTCAGTCCTTATTTCCACATTCAGTTTCGCACACCAGAGACACAATGTGGTATTTAAATGTGTAGGACAGGCTTTCTGTAACTCCAGGAGTTCAGCTGAGTTTTTCTGTTCTCCCTTTGTTTTGTCTCTTTCTTCCTCTCTCTTCTTTCTCTCCATCTTTCCTTCTTTCTTTTCTTTCTCTTTATGTCTCTCTTCTTCCCATGCTCTCTCTTCCTCCCTTTCATTCTTTCTGCTTTGAGATGGGGCCTTGATCAGCTGCTCAGGCTGGGTTCAAACACAGTTTGCCTCATCCAGTCAAGTGTCTGAGATTTCAGGTGTGCGCCGCCCTGCCTGGGTTCTCAGTTCTCAGACTGCAGTTCTCAGTCCAGAACTATGAGCATTAGAAGTCAAGCTTGGAAAATGTTTTTAATAAATGTTTGATTTGTAAAGCTCCTTGTGTGTATGTGGAAAAAAAAATTTAGTGCATTTTTCTGGGTATGGTGGCACATGTCTGTAAGCCCAGCACTTTGAGAGGCTGAGGCAGGAGAACCACAAGTTTGTATCCAGCTTGGGCAGTGTAGCGACTTAGTGAAGTCCCATCTCAAAGTAAAAAGGAGGGCATATGGAGCTCAGAGCAAAGGCAGAAAACCGATCAATCAAAATGTGTTTTCCACCAATTAAACTGTTCTTCTCAAGGTAGTCTTGTGGAAAGTTTTCTCTTCCAAGAGGAAGAATTTTCCGGTCTCCCAGTATGAGCAAGAGGAATTTACAAAAGAGATTAGCTGATGTTCAAGTTTGGCATAGGGAGGCCCTGTGCTGCCAGGCCGGCCCCTCAGTGGCTGTCACCAAAGGCAGGAAGGGTCGGGCAGACCGAGTGAGAGGTACCAGTTTGCAGGTGCACTGCTTCTGGTGTACAAAGGAACACTTCTCTGATTCCTTTGTGTTTTCTGTTACAGTTACCCCTTGAACGATAAGGGTTTGGACTGAACTGCTGTAATTAGACACAGATTTTTTTTTTCACTTATACGTGGATTTTTTTGGAGGTTTGAGACAATTTGAAAAAAACAAACTCACAAACCACATAACCTAGGAATATCAAGCAAATTCAGAAAAAGTTGGGTAGGTCGTGAATGTATAAAATACACATGGGTAATAGTCTGTTTTACCATTTTTTACCCTAAAATACAAATCTGTCTTAAAAAGTTAAAATTTATGAAAACATACAAACTAGATGATGCAATTTACAGAGGAGAGAAATATAAACAAATGTAAAGGTAAATACTGGATCGTAACCACATAGAATTAATCAGTGCACACTTCACTGCTGTCATGATCTCACGGCACCTCCTGGCGCTGCTGCACTGGGCTCACCTTAGAGCCCTGCTGCTGATCATCTCTGTGGGAGTAGTTGAAAGCGTGCATGGCCATGAAAAGTGATCTCTCCCAGTTCTCAATGCTTTTCACCACATATGGTACATAGACAAAATATGTATCAGTCAGCTGTTGATGTTATTGGTAAGGCTTTCAGTCAATAGCAGGCTATTAGCAGTAGTTAAGCTCAGGTTGGTGGCCCCGTGAGGGGTTGGGTACCCCACCCGCTATGCTGTTCAGCGGTAAAGTGTAAGAACTCTCTGATTTGGCTACCTAGAGTTCCACCTCAGAAACACCGTAGGGATCTCCCTCAGTACAAGCTCTTCCTGTGCCACAGTGATGCAGACTTCCGCAGTTGGCAGTGCCCCTGGAGGGGACTCACCATGTTATCATGGTGTCAGACCACTTCAGTGGTGCTGTGAAGTCTGTGAAGGTAACACAGGGAGCCAGGTACCACCATGATCACTTACACCATCTGTACCAAATTTGTTTCCAAGAGGTTTTTGACCTCAGAGTTGAATCTGGCAAGGCCTGAATCCTTGTAAATGTGTTAAGGGATGAGAGGCTTTTCAGTGAGAAGGCCTTCCTAACTATGACTCAAAACCAGAAACCATATAAAAAAGGAAACACATAAATTATGCCATAGAAGAATTAGAATAACTACACTGCAAAACACCTGCTCCCCACTGGGTTCTTTGTTATCTCTAAGAATTGGCCAGTTCCTGAAGGAGCAGTCTCATCGGCAGGAAAGGGGTGAAGATGTGAGAATGTGGAACAGGGAATTTATAAAAAAAAATTCTATATACTATATAGTCTATAT